ACTTTGCTATTAACCATTTTTATAGTACACCTCAGTTTCAACATGCAACTCATCACACTCTAGAATCAGTCCGGAAATGATTTAACATGCAATATAAAGTAAGAATACTTCTACTTCAGGTAATCATTCAAAATTTGACAACCTAGAACCTACCAATAGTTTAAGCATACCAAATACAGTTAAGATGATATAATGGTGAAGCCCAAACTATTTATTAAATTGCCTTTATTATTTTATTTAGATATCTAGGTTAAATAATAAATATATATCAGATGTCCTTAATAAATTCTCAAAAATTTACAGAGCCTTACTAATGCTATCAAAAGACTACTGTCAAAATTTCATGTCATTTTACCAAGTAGAACATTCTATACAAAAATGACAAGGCAGCAAGGCTTGAAATAGCATAAATGGAAAATCCTATTGAAAAGTGTCAAGCAACAGATTTCATATTTTTCTTAGCATCCATATGGTACTAGGATTACCTCCAACAAATTTCATGAATTTTGGACTCATACTTAATTTATGAAAATTCATGCAAGGACTAACTAGTCATAAAAGAAAAATCTATAACTTTAAATCTACCCATGCACTGGTCCTCAAATTTTTACCAGAGTTCACACATGCTAAGATTAGTTCACCACAAAAATTTCATAATTTTTGGAGCACAGGAACTCTAGATATAAAATAAACAAATTTGAATGCATTCAAAAGCACATTTCAAATCCCTATTTAAATCTCCAAAAATTTCTACTGTTGAAACCAAGAACATATTTTTCTTAAATAATACACTTCCTAAGGAACACAACCATATTTATTTCACAATTTTAGGAGCTACCAAACTGAAGATACAAAAATAACAAAACACACTTGAATCTGGAATTTTTGAACTAGCTTTCAAAACTGCTGTCGCTGACCGGTGGGACCTACGCGTCAGTTGGACCCACACGTCATCGAGACGGAAACAGAGCCGGCGGCGCTAACCTACGGACGTGGCCAGAGCTCGTCGACGGCGAGGTTGCCGGCGGTGAGGTCTTCACGACGTGATCTACGTGACCTAGCGCATCTATTGAGCCACTTGGCCGGCCCTATCGTCAACGGTAAAGACGACGGCGGCGGCAATGGCGGAGCGGCAAGGCGGGACGACGGCGATGCGCCGGCGACGACCTCGGTGGCTCAACCTAAGGTGCGGATAAGCAACTATGAACGCTGGAGAACCTAGCACGCTAGCCAACAGAGCGGGAGAAGGACTGTGGCGGCGTGGCCACGACGACGGGGCTCACGGCGGAACTCCGGCGAGCTTGCATGCGCTGTGGCTGCTTACCAAGTGCTGTCAGCGGGCACGGGGAGAAGCAATGGGGTGCTGGGGAGACGGTGGAGCTATGGCGGTGGTGCTGGAGTGGCTAGGCGCGAGCTACGCGCGGTTATGGCGACGGCGGAGCTGCAAGAGCTCGGCGGCTGCTGCTGCGGGCGAGAAGAAAACCGAGGCGAAGCAAATGAGGTGCGCGGCTGAGTGCGGGCGGGCGCTGGGAAGGTTAAGGCGTGCACTGGCCTGGCTCTGCCACGCTGGGCAGGGCGCCGGCGACGCGCAGCCGTGGCTGGCCACCACGCGGCGCACAGGCTCTGAGCCGGTCGGCCACCGAGCTGGCCGATTCAGTTCGATAGAAATCGAAATGGGACGCCTGACAGCCGATTTTCAAGTTGAACAAACTCTTAATCCGTGGACTTCTAGCCAAAACTTCCTAAACCAAACTTGTAGACCTATGTACTAGCTACAATACTTGTTCAAAGCACTTATTCTAATTCGCAACAGAAATGGAGTAAAATCATGCTCAAGGTCGGCTTGACAGGCTGTCAGGGATCCAGGACTTAGAAAAAATTCGTTAAGTGCTGAAACCTGGATTTTGCTGATTTTTGTGGGACCTATTCAAGCATGTTAGAAGCTAAATCAGTCAATGACCCAAAAATAAAAGTTGTTCCTTATGTCAAACACTACAACTTTGATTTAGTGAACTCCTCCATGCAAGGTCTCTAACACCTAGTTCAACTTTGGTCAAACATGCTACATTTAAAAGATGACTCATACATGAACTATGACTTAGTGACTCATTTAGCCTTAGCCATGAATACCAAAGTTGTTCATAATGATACTCTAAACATGTTTAAGCTATTTGCAAGGGCACACAATCATTTACATGTATTCACTCACTATTATTTGCATATATATACCAGGAAACATGAAATAACAAGCAAATGTTTCATATGTTTCAATTGAATGTTTCAAGTGTAAATGATGATTTGTGAATGCTTGATGCTCATGCTCATGTTATGCAAGTCAAGTTATGCAAGGCTAACACCCGAGGTGTTACATATAAGCTCGACGCCACCAACGATAGCGCCGAGCTAAGAGTCCAAATTTTGAAATCATACATCTAGGGACATATTTGTGAAAATTTTCAAAAAAAAGGCTAAAAATAAAAAATTTGGAAGTAACTGCAGCCCTGGCCTTGAAGAAGCAGGTACTCAATTTGTATTGATAGAAACTGTGCATGAGATCTAATTACCAAATTCTAAATTCCATTCACTTGGTGAACACACATCATGCAATAGAGTCTCCAACTTTAGAACAAGAGGCAGCACAGTTAAGGGAAACTTACTGAGTTGCATTGGAACCTACAGTTTGTATCTGTCCCTGCAATATATTTATATAAATACAAATTAGGAAAAGTATTAGAAAATGTAGTTCTCAACTATCATAGAAATTGTTTTGAGGATCTGCCGCTCTAAAAAACGCGAGGAGGAGAGGATCTAGGGGAGGAGCTATGGGACGAAGGAGGAGAAGAAGAGGGTGAGTCACCGTAAGATCCAGCCACCGAGCTTCGCCGCCGCCGCCGTTGCCACCGCAGCCGGCGATGAAGAGGGCAGCCGCCGCTGCACAGGCACCTAGGGTTTCTTCGAGCAGAGGAGCACAAGCTCCCCAGCAGAAAGAGGCGTTGAGGAGCCCACACGGAGGATGGAGGAGCGGGAGGGGGCCGCCGAGCCCGTGCCGGGCCGGCGCACCGCCCGCAGGGGCACCGCCACCTGGCGCCCAGCGCTGCCTCGCGCCCACCGCCGCCTTGGGAGGGAAGGGGAGAGAGAGAGAGAGAGAGGAAGGGGAGGGAGAAACGGAGGTGAGAGGTAGGCGAGGAAGGGCGGAGGAGGAGGAGGGCAGCCGTCGTCGCCGCGCCCGGCGCCGTCGCTCGTGCTTGCGTCGGGACGGAGAGGGAGAGACAGATGGGGAAAGAGAGGAGGGAGCCAGAAGAATCTAGAACGAGAAGCGGGAGCCGTAGTATATATTTGGTTCTCCGGATTCAGATGAGAAGCAGGAAAAGCAGAGGAGAAACGAGAGAATCCAATCAAAAGCAGGAGAAGCGGGTGCAGGCGAGAATCCGCTTTGATCTATCTGGACCGTGAAACTGAAGATCGGATGGCCAGGAGATTTTAGGGCGACATGGACAGGGTTTCTTGGCCAGGAGCTGTCGCTCTTTGTTGTTTTTTAAAAAAAAATGCATGCGTCAGCAAAATCCAATGAAATATTTCATCATACGCATATGAACTGCCCCGTTAGTGGACAATGCTCCAACCGCCGCCTAGCGTATAATCATTTCAACTTTAAGGCCAATCGCAACAAAAGCTTCATTTTATCGCAAGAGAAAGTTCAGTTTTCGGTGACATGAACACAATTGAGGTGAAAAGAGTTTTATCTAAATGAAACCTATGAATAGGACATTGTTTTTCCAAGTCGTAATATATCTTATAATTAAATGTTCTGAATAGGACATTGTTTCCAAGTCGTAATATATCTTATAATTAAATGTTCTGCCGTTAAAAAAATGCAATTTTCACGTATTCAACTTTGACCAGAGCTATATAAAAAACACTAAAATATTTGAAGACATAAATGTTGATATTATTTTCTATAAATTTGATCAAACTTAAAAATATTTTTACTTATTCTTAATCTATAAATGCGTTCCTTTTAGGACAGAGAGAGGGCATCGTAACTATATATTATATAGAACTTTTTTAAGCCTTGGTTAATTATTATTTTGAATAACAAAATAAAACTTGCAATTAGGATGGGCTAATGTCAAGATTGGAGAAGTTATTTACAAAAAAAAAATCCCAACTTGGGGCCTTCGAGTTTTGGGTGTTCTCCTGATTTTCCCACTGAGGTCCTATTTCAATCTCATGGTTTAAAGTTTAGTGGCTAAATTTTAGATTACTTTTGCTCTTGAGACTTCAAACAGAAGGTCTAAAGTTTAGCCAATCTCATAAGAACTTGATCACATAAGTGAGCTAAAGTAATTTAAAATTGTATTTTCTTCAACTTTAGTCAACCAAACTTTACACCAGAGAATCTAAACAGGCCCTTAGTTTTTTCAGTTCAGTCAAAGGTTCACACAAAACACCGAAAGGGTAAAGCCTGGTGCTAGTGCTATCGGGTTGCAGCCGTTGCCAGATAACAAAATCGCCTTCAGTCTGATTTGCATTATAATGCATCTTATATACTTCGAATAAATACGTGTTTAATCATGTAGTCTCAATTCTGATTCCGCCCCTATTTACAAGGCAACATGCACCATACAAAAAAAAATCCACACGTGCCATCACTCGATTCTACAGCCTACAAATGCGTTCGACGACAGCTGAGAACGAGATACTACTACGACGCCCTTCAACATTTTGTATCCTATGCCGTATAGCACGAGAAGTTTCTTCCGCGTACGGCTAGATACCAAACCTTTTGCGATTTTCAATTCAACTTGTATTAAAAATAGAGAGAGCATCAGCTGTGCAGAAATATTGGAATTTGGATACACTTTTGCGGGAAAGAATTGATTGAGTTCGTATCCGGCCGGTAGTCCATATCAGCAGGCGAGAAACCTCCCAAAGAAACTACAAGTATATATATCTCTCGCTAACACTTAGGCCACTGGCTACGACGACGAAAACGAGCCATGGCCAGCCTCGTGAGCCAAGTGTCGAGCGCCGTGGCCGCCTGCGCGCGCCGCCTCAAGCGCCGCCTCCTCCGCGCGCGAGGGCTCCAGTGGGGCGGCTGCCGCAGTGTCTGCCTCGGAAGGCAGCTCGTGCTAGCTGACGGTGGCGGCAACGACGACGACGCTGGCGCCGGCGATCGTCGCGAGGAGGATGGCCAAGGACAAGGTGCCCTGTGGCGCCGGGCGATCCTGATGGGGCAGCGCTGCGAGCCACTCGACTTTCCCGGCGCCATCCACTACGACAGCTTCGGCCGGCGGGTCCAGTCGCCCCGCTGCTGCAGCAGGAGGAAGGCGGCGGGCGCGCTGTTCTGCCGCTCGTCGGACGCCGTAGACGACGCCGTCACTGCAGCCTCAGCCAAGGAGGCATACTACGCCTACCTGTCTACTGATCAACACTGATGATTTATGTTTATAGGATGATGCCATTGCCATGCATGTGTTTCCATGGCCGCGTTGCGTTTCTTGACCGGCCGATTGTTGGCGTGCATGTGTTGCTTGTGTAACTTCCTTCAACCTTTTTTTTTCTGCAATGCTAGACATATGTTGGTAGCTGTAGAAACTTATGATGCTAATTCATTTTTTAGGAAAGAAACAAAAAAAATTGGCGAAGGGCGAGCCTGGTGCAAGCGGTAGAGTCTTAACCAGTGCCGGCCCTAGGGGTAGGCCAGGAGGTGCGACGGCCGAGGGCCCAAGCGGAGGAGGGCCCCAAGTCCAGGTATACAAATCCACAGGTCCTATAGTTCATTAGGCATTAGCAAATTAATAAGAAGAGAGGCATAGAACCGACCAGACGGCCCAAAAAGATAACATCGGCATTTCTTTCCTAGTTTCCTTTCCCCACGGCTCTCGGGTAGAGAGGAGGCGAGGAGTCACGCTGCACACAGCACACTCTGATCGTGAGTTCGTGACGTGCCCGTCTTACACACGCGAAGTTGACGAGCCGCACCGCCGTGAAGAGCTAGACTACCGGAGACACGGACACGGTGCACGAGGACGGCAACTAAGCAGGGCTCCACGACGACAACATCTTGATTCTTGGCTTCTTACGAATTGCGATCACCGATCAGTTGTTTAGGCCCAAGGTATTTTTTTCTTTTTATTTTTAATCCAAATTAATTATTTGTATAGTATTTCAGACTTCTGGTACTTTGTACCATATAGTCATATTTTTCTTCTAATTTAGGTGTTAGAATTTTAGAATGTTACATAAGAAACATTTGTCGTGGGTGAGAAAAGAAAACGAATATATTGTTTTTTTAATCTATATTATTTCTCGATAATTATCATACATCTATAAATATATTGCTTAATCTACATCGTCCCTCGATAATTATCAGACATGTTAAATTAAAAATATATTATTGAATTTGATTTCGTTTTGTAAGTAAAATTAATGCATATATATTATAAGATTTTATACATGGTCAATAGGGGGCCGTTGCGACGAGATCGCCGTAGGGCCAATAAAATCGTAGGACTGGCACTGGTCTTAACGCCTGTGACCGGAAGTTCCCGGGTTCGAATCGCGGTCTCCTCGCATTGCACAGGCAAGGGTAAGGCTTGCCATTGACACCCTTCCCTAGACCCCGCACAGAACGGGAGCTTTCTGCACTGAGTGCGCCCTTTTTAAATAAAAAAAATGGCATGCCAAATCATAGGTCAGATTTATAATTGATTGCATAACTGCTTATAAGGCTCAAAAAAGTTTGACAAGCCAAACCAGAGAATGAGTTCAAGATTTGAGAAATCAAACAGGAGAGAAGCAGTTCGTCCGGGTACGAAAGGCTATTTCTTCACTCAAGAAGGGACGAATTAATGCATGCCTTAACATTCAGAGTTTTATTCAACAATAAAAGGACACAGTAAATGCTCCAACAGGACAATATCATGTTTTTTCAGAAATTGTTGCTCGAACGTACAAATTCGGCACTGATATCGTACCAGCTGATGGCCAAAAATTCAGAACCTGCTTCTGATGCCAGTTCTGCAATTTCTTGACTGATGCAGTCTGAACTCAGTGTTCTAGCTTTGTACAAGATCTTGTGACATTCTAATCGCATTGATGCATGCTATCAACAACACATCCTGCATTTAACCGCTTCCGTCAAGCTGCCCATGGGAGAGGAGGTGTGCCAGATATTGCTGAAACAAAAACACAGAGAAAGCATACATCAAACTTGCATATATTGGGCAGCAAGAATATATCTAGAACAAGAACATATGAAATTGGGTGTTTTCTTCTGACAAAATATGAATTTCCGAGTGGTAAGCATGTGTAGCTAGTAGTGAATGATAGACAAGCGTGTAATGTCCATACAGCATGGTAGGCATATGGTGGTTTCCCTTGCCGGTCAAAATGCTTCGCCATGATGGAGAACTCTATTGGACCCCATTCGTCTATTTCAAAACAATTGCCTAATGCAGCCTTGTAAAGCTGCAACCCACCAAATGAAGTTGGCACAGGAAATAAACAAAATAGCAATTTTAAATCTGCTTGTCATTGACAACAACAAAAGCTCCTCCACATGTATTTATATAAAAGGAGGTATATATAGTTTCCACACCTTTGCAGTGTCAGTTAGTAGCTCAGTACCAGCAGGGTACGAGGCATAATACTGGTCAGCCCTTGAGATCCCAGCCCTTGTCCTGCGAGAAGCTCAAGCGAAGAGTACTGGCACGTGAGGACAACTGAACAAGTAATGAAGTTAATGGAACTGTAATAAAAGAGCTAAATCTGGTTCAGTGACGACGTACGTATTGCTTGTGTAAGCATAAGTAATGAGGGCAGTGAAGCAGTAGAATCCAGCATATGACACCATACGCCGAAACTTCTGGATCTTCAAAACCTCCTTACACTGATAGAGGATATCCATCTCACTACACCTGAATGCTGGTTTTAGAGGGAAAAGAACATCAGTTAGACACAAACTTGGCTCTACAAATCATTCCAAGAAATCAGAAAAAGATTATGTATTAAACCACAGCACTGAATCCCAATAACATGAAATCAAACTGAAAAAAGCAAAACATTTGCACTGAATCCCAGAAAGCTTGGCTAGTAACAATCTGAGCATAGTTTCTTGGGAAGGTCACAGAATACTAAATAGGCATGCAAAAAAAGCAAAGGAACACATAGCCAAGATAATGGATACTTACAGGGTGTGCAAATGGTGATGACTTTACAAAGTTTCATGTTCCTACATGTTACATCGATTTTCGCTAAGCATTTTGCTACAAAACCAACAGCGGCATGCACATTCAACTGGTGATGAGCCCCAGAGAAGCTCTGTCAAACTAAATCAATCTGCAGAACCTCGTCAAGGATAGAATTCCAATTTTAAAAATTGTCTGTTCTCTTATCCTATAACCAAAAACAAAGAATTTTATCAAATAATAAACGTACTAAACTATGCATCCCACATCAAATGTAAATTGTGCTGTCTTAGCAATGTCTGAGAGATCACGGTGGCTCTCAATCGCTATATATTCAGTACACTCACTGAACTCGGCACAGAGTCATTTTGATTGAACACATCAGGCGGGGTGATCCAGCTCTAAATCACGGAATGGGACGGAACAAACGGTAAAAGCTGCAAGCACGTTTCTCTGGGGAATTTCAACAAACATCTCCCGTGCATGCCTGTGAATGTCCCTGCAGTTAGCAATTCTTCTTTCCTCTAAGAACTCTAGAACTGCAACCATGTCCCGGTGTAACGCTACCTAAGTCAACGATCATTCCACACCGCAGAAAGATTTGATTTTAACAAACGCTTTGGCTTGTGTATCTAGCTCTCAAGTCCAAAATTCGAGCGCAGGACAGGGAAAAGAAGGAAAAGGAGGATGGGCATGGATGAAAACAGCACAGACCTCCACCACGGGACGTCGTCTCCTCACGAGGACAGGCTCGGGTTCCGAAGGTTCGGCCGCCGGCCGTCGGTTTCGCGAGCGCCGACGAAACAGCAGCGGGACGAAAGCTCCCTGATGAACCAGGGAGACATCACGAGTCCACGACGAAATAAATGGAACTGGGCTGTCGGTCCAGTTAGTATGGTAAGTTCTGTTGGGCTGTGAAATGGGTTCGGTGCAAGCCTGTTTATAAGTGGATGGAGGAGTTAAGTGACGTGGAGCCGTGGAGAGAAAAAGTCTAATTTTATTCCTGAACTATAAAAATCAATGTTTTTAACACCCATCAACTTTTAAAAACGTTTATTTTTTTCTTGAATGATTTTGATGATTTTTTTAAATGCATCACCTCATAAAAGGATAAATCGGACTAAGTTGAAAGTTCAGGGAGATAAATCGAACTACAAATATTTAAAAAAATATCAATAAATCATAAAAATATTTTCTCATAAATTTATCTAAATATTTATATGAACAATAATGCAATTAAGATCCTAAGAAAACTTGTTAACTTGAAAAATTATGAAACTATTTTTTCTAAAATCATGCTCTATCTTATTGTGCTTATTTTGAATATTTATGGACTCATTTTTGAACCTTTATGGACTTATTTTGGTGCAGAATTTCAATGCACAGTTAGTCAGTTACCAAGACTGTTAATCTCAAAAAAGTTACCAAGACTGCTAAATCAGTTTTACAAGTGAATAAAATAGTCCATCTCAGCACATAGTTTCATGACACAGTTTTATAGGCTAACCAAATCAGTTAATTGTGATATGGTGCTATTATCAAATATGGCATATGAAATGTATAGCCTTGCAATTGCATATAATTCTTTGCTTATCTCGCGAAGAAGATCCTCAAAATGAAACAAATTGGTCTCGGTGGATGTTTTTTTATTGTCAGCCTATTCATTTCGGCTAGATTGGCTTATAAGCCATGGCTGAAAGTACTGCTGACTGATTTGGTGTGAGGGAAAAATATTGTTCGTTAGCTGATAAGTCAAGGCTTATAAGCCGAATATAAGCTGCCGAACAAGCTGTGTGTTGATAAATGTGATAGATGTGTTTCATCCTAATGAAACTCTATTTTTCTCTTCCCTCATAAACAACATGCCAACCAAGCAAAATTACTGATGTGTCAGTTTTAGATGAGAGTAAAAACCCCACTAAGAGTGTCCACAGTAGTCTGGCAAAATCGCTAGCTGAAATGGATACGTGATGGAATAAAAAAATAGTACTACCAAGGTGGATAGGTTTCGAAGAAAAGAGATACGGAGATATGTCATCAATAGCTGTGCGATTCACGGCCTGTTCAGTTGGCTGGTTCATATCGTTGTTGATTCGTTTATGTGAGAGAGAAGTACTGCTGAATAGTTTATTGGAACAGTGTCCATGTGAGGGGGCTGGCCAGCCCAACCAGCCAGCCAGCCCCAGCCGACCACGGCGTCTATCTATTCACTTGTTACTAGCGACTTTATTTTTTTACATTCTCTCTCTTCCCCGTCATATAAAAAATGATATCAGCTAGCCATTTGATAGCTTGTTGGAGACGCTCTAAAATTATAAAGGTTTCATCTTTTATGGACCATAAATAAGCTACCAATTTAACTTGACACAATAGAAGAGAGACTATCAAAGTCAAAACCCTCGCTGGGACTAGCTCTGCGTTGAGATAACCAAATAGCACTAGCAATATTTGAGATACTACTTGAAAAATAATAATAACAACAAATTGAGATGCTATCTGAAGGCAATTATACGGGTATAGCATACATCATTTGGAGTACCAATTTAATGGATATGAGATCCCTTCCCAGTATAAATATGTTGCAGCTAGCATTGTGTTTGCTGGCTCGTGTTTTTTGCAGGCCTTTTTTTTATCTTTTATTTATGCAGGCCTTTTATCTTTTCTGCAGGCCTTTATCAGGATCTATCTGCTAGTCTATCTAGAACATTATTAAGTATGAACTTATTAAATATACTGGTTATTTATATAATGTCAAGATTTTGGATTCTCATTTTCCTAGGGGACATCCCATTAATTCCATGCCTACTACTTTATTATCGATAAATAAGATAACACCGATATACACATTTCCAATCGCCTGCCCCGATCGATCATCTCTGCCTCGACTGCTGCAGCCTACAGCGGGGGCGAGCTCCCACACCATCGTCCCCGTCCACCGCACGCGCCGTCCGTCCATGCCGAGTCTCCTCAGCAAGGTGTCCAGCGCCGCGGCCGCCTGCGCACGCCGCGTCTCGCGCGCGACGCGCCGCCTCCTCCACCGCGCACGGCGGCCGCGCCGGGACTTCAGCCAGCTCGTGCCGACGACCGACGATGATCACCAGCAGGAGGCCAGCGAGGACGCCGGCGAGCAGGGCGGCGGGGAAGAGGAAGAAGAAGGCCTGTGGCGCCGGACCGTCCTGATGGGGGAGCGGTGCAAGCCGCTCGACTTCCCAGGCGCTATCCACTACGACAGCTCCGGCCGGCTGCTCCCGGCGGCGCCCTCGCCCCGCAGCAGCGGCAAGGCGGCGGGAGCGCTGCTCTGCCGCTCGGCGTGCGACGTCGACGAGGCCGCAACGGCACGCAGCAAGGCTAGGCTAGCTAAGGCTAAGCACGTGTAGCCGCCGCTCCCGATCGGCGTAATGGCTGCCATCTCTCCGTGCTCGTTCGACTCCCAAATGGAGTTGTGATGGTTGCTTGCGTTTTCTGAACTGAACGATTGATGTTTTGTTTGGATTTGCAGTACATCGCTCAGTAAAAACTAAAATGTACAAGGAAATCACCTGAATTTATCCAATGAATGAATTTAGAGCGAGTTTGCGGTCTCCCGTAGTTTGTAAGGAAAATAGTTTGCAGTGGGATAAATTAAATCTACTACTGATCATATTTGTTCTGCAGCTCGAAAACGCATAAATGTTTTGCTTCTCATAACTTGAATTGGAAAAAGGAAACTAGTTCACCGAAAACAGATATTTTTATATCAGTAATCTCATCACACGGGATTATATAATTTACAACCATTCCACCTCGTGACTGAGTATGCACGTGTAATTTTCTGCCTTGCCTGCACATTAAGAGGCTGTTTGGTTGGGCCTCTGAGCCAAACCAAGCATGGAAAATTGAACACTAGAAAATCCAACACTGCGCGTCATTTCATTAAGAAAAAAGTGAACAAATACAGAAGATTAGGGGAGACCCCCCCAATCCTTGCACACCAACACACCCACCCAGTTTCAAAGATCATACTCCCAGCTGCCAGTTACGTTGAAGATTCAGGATACAACTAAGAAATCACACCAGTGTGTACCATTCTTTCATAGTATAAGAGCTCACGAGCACTCTGAGCTCCATAGTGTGTAACACGCACCGCCAACCAAAGAGGCAAAGAGTGATTACCCAACGGCAGAAAGGGCAAAAACCAATTATTCAACTGAAAGAATAATTCATTCAGCTGGGAGTACCATGGCCTTCTTTTCCCAAAGCAATCTTCACACGGACTGGTGCAATGGCCCAAAAATACAGAATCTACCTGTGTCTCAATTCTGACATCATTTGACGAGCCACCTAAGCCCAACATGTCAGCAACACAGCCCTTTTATACAAGGTCCCCGGAAACTTCATTTACTGATGACGCCAGCACAGCCTCTCAGGTTCCAACTAAAAGGCGTACCAGTGCAGAGAGCTCCCGCTCTGTGCGGGCTCTGGCAAAGGGTGTCAGTGGCAAGCCTTACTCTCGCCTGTGTAATACGAGGAGACCACGACTCAAACCCGAGACCTTCCAGGAACATACGGTAAAACTCTACCGCTTGCACCAGGCCCATCCTTCCGGTTCCAACTAAAACACATCAAGAATTTAACTGCTTCCATCAAGCTGCCCATGGGAGAGGAGGTGTGTAATATATATATGAGTAAAGTCCAATTTATAACATTCAACTCTCGTCAAAGTCCGGATTTCAACCTCGAACTCCAAAACCGGATAACTTTGGCCCTCGAACTCTTGAAACCGTTCACTTTTTAACCCTGTGCCGGTTTTGGGCGGTTTTGGTGTATAAACAGTAACTTTTGATATTTTCGGGAGTCCTCGAAATTTCATATTTTTTTTTGAGCATCTTAACGTCCTCAAATGAAAAAACTCAAAACTACAAAGTTGTAGATCTCATTGAGAGCTACAACTTTGGTATAAAATGTATTTTCATTTAACTCCATACAAATAATATATTAGTGCTCTAATGCGGTAAGCGCTAGTAGACGATTATTATGGTGCTGAAATTTTATATTATTTTTTTGAGTATCTTACTGTCCTCAAATGAAAAAAATTAAAACTATAAAGTTGTAGATCTCATCGAGGTCTACAATTTACATATAAAAATTATCTTCATCCGACATCGTATTGAAGGGTTTTCTATTTTTTGAAATTTGAGTCTCGTCACGCTTGGATGAAGATAATTTTTATATGTAAATTGTAGACCTCGACAAGATCTACAACTTTATAGTTTTAATTTTTTTTTCATTTGAGAACAGTAAGATGCTCAAAAAAATAATATAAAATTTCAACACCATAATAATCGCCTACTACCGCTTGCCGCATTAGAGCACTAATATATTATTTGTATGGAGTTAAATAAAAATACTTTTTATACTAAAGTTGTAGATCTCAATGAGATCTACAACTTTGTAGTTTTGAGTTTTTTCATTTGAGGACGTTAAGATGCTAAAAAATAATATAAAATTTCGACGCCTCCCGAAAATATCAAAAGTTACTGTTCATCCACTAAAACCGCCCGAAACCGGCCCAGGGTTGAAAAAGTAAACGGTTTCAGGAGTTCGAGGGCCAAAGTTATCCGGTTTTAGAGTTCGAGGTTAAAATCCGGACTTTGACGAGAGTTGAAGTTTGTAAATTGGACTTTGCCCTATATATATTGCTGATAAAAAGGCAGATGCAGACATAAGGCATGCTAATTGTACAGGAAACGACGTGAGGATAATAAACAGGGACATAAGTAATTTTTCCAGATAAAATACAAATCTAGTATAGGAAACACCAAACGAAAGACGAGGGAAACAACTTACAGCATGGTACGCGTATGGTGGTTTGTCGTGCCGGTCAAAATGCTTTGTCGTGATGGAGAATTCTATGGGCCCCAGTCATCTATTTCGAAACAATTACCTAAGGCTGCCTTGTAAAGCTGTGAACCAGAAGATGAAGTAAAAATTACCGCTCCAGCAGCAATTGATTGTTATTTGTTACAGGATAGGAATCTCCATGACAGATAAATACTTTACATACTGTTGGGACGAGTATGCATACCCATACCTTTGCAGTGTCAGTCAGTGTAACTCAGTACCAGCAGGGTAGGAATACCGGTCAGCTCTTGAAATCCCAGCCCTTGTCCTACAATAATCTCAAAGAGGCAATACTGTCTGGAAAGAACAAGGAGTGTGAAGATTCAGAAGTGACATACGTGTTGCTTGTGTAGGCATAGGTAACGAGAGCACTGAAGCAGTAAAATCCAACATAAGATGCGATACATCGAAACCTCTGGATCTTTAGGATCTAAAGACTGTCTCCAACAGTATAGGCATAAGGCTAAGGCTATCTCCAACAGGAGACCCATTGCAGAACCTAAATTCAAAATGGATCTCCTACACAATACCTATAGCCTCCAACAGAGTATCTATATGGAAGATCCATTTTGGATGCCAAGACAGGCATAACCTAAATCTGAGTATCCTCTCTCCTGGAGACTCATTTGCAGAAAGGGTTGTCTTTTGGGTCTTGTTGTTGGAGAAGACAAAAAATATGTATTAAATCATTTGCCTGTAGTGCTACCCAAAAGATGAATGGGTCTTGTATTTTGTGTCGTGGTTGTTGAAGACAGTCTAACTAAACCTAAAATGCATAGTTCACATTAAAAAACACAGGGTCCGACAGGATAGGCAAACGGGTGACCTATTTTGCGTGCAAGGTGAGGGAGAACCCAGATAAGCGTCTCTCCCCGTCGCGACCCAAATATCAGGCGCCGTCGGCCATGGTGGGCCCATAGGAGGCGAGGTGGAGACGAGGCAAGGGAACTGGATCCGCCGCCGCCGACCTTCGCCCGCAGACCGCAACCCCGGCTGCCCTAGCCTTGCCCCTGGGGAGCGCGCGCCGCCGCCGCTGCTTGAGGGCCTGGGAGGATGCGCGCGCGCCACTGCTTGGGGGGCGGGAGAGGGCGCGCCACCGCCGGGGAGGAGGCGTCGCCGCTGCTTGAGGGCCGGGGAGGGGCACCGCCGCTGCTTGGGGGGCGGGTGAGGGGGCGCCGCCGCTGCACCCTGGACGACGACCGCGGCGGCTGCGGTTCCGTGTCTCTGTTTTGGGTCCGTTGTTGGAGAAGGCATGTTTTAGGTATGCGACCCTTTTGCACAGGGTGACGCATACAATGGAATGGGTGTCGATTTTAAGGTCTCATTGTTGGAGATTAACACCGATGAAAGATGTCCATCTCACAGCAGCTTGATGCTGGTGTTTGGAGGAAAAAGAAAGAAGAAATGTCAGTTAACTGACAAAAATCAACATAATTGTCAGATGATAAAAATAAGCCGTCTGCAGCAGCCAGAAAATGTTTCAGCTTATTAAAGAGTCTGTCTGCTTCTGAAGACCACAAATCATAATGCATGTATTAATGGCAACAAAAGATAGATAAATATTGACAGGTAAAATAACAAATTATTGCCAGCATATTTTCTTAAGCACTCCCAATCAAGCGATCACGTTCCGGCACATCGTAAGGAGGGGAACCAACAGATTCAGGCTGGTAAAAGGCACCTCTTATCACTAACTCAGCTGCTGTAAATGGGTCTGTTTTAGCACATGTAGAGTCTCTGCCATGCCTGCAATCAAACTTGTGCCCGCAGCCTCAGTTGGAGGGGCTCGTCGACGTCGTCGTGATTGAGGCATTGAGCCAGAGTTCTTTTTTTTAGCAACATTGAGCCAGAGTTCTATGTCGCACTTCGTTTAAGTTGGGCCAGGCCCATGTCGACATGAATTGTGGTGTGCTTAGCATATGGGCCATTTTTTTGTCTTAGGCTGTCGTTTTTTTTTGTTGAGGAAAACAGGAGGGTTGTCCCTCTACTGTGCTTTTATTGAAATTTTTAAAAACTGAGTACAGGTCTTACAAAGAGTCTTCAAGAGACAAAGAAAGTAATGTAAAAAATCAAAAAAATACACATAAGCTTCTAGCCATTGAGACAAAAAAAGGTGCTATGCTACTTTTTGCTCGAAGAATAACTTGAGCAAATTCTTTTCGAAGACTGATCTGCAGTGAAGGAGTGAAGGCTGCACTTGCTTGAAAATGGCATCATTTCTAACTGTCCAGATTGACCAAGCCATTGTCACTATAATCTCCATGAAGAAAGGAAGTTGAAGCTGATTTTTAAAGGACATCAGGGTTCCATAGGGGTCAGAAGGATGCTGAATAACCAGGCCCAGAGTAGCCCAGCAGGATTGTGAGAACGGGCAAGCAAGGAACAAATGAAGCAGAGACTCTTCTACAGTTGGATGGCAAAGAACACAATTGTAATCGTCCAGTACCATTCTTTTCCTTCTTAGCAATTCACGAGTACTGAGTCTATCCTTGAGTAA